CCGTACATCAGGTCCTGTGTACTCGGCCTCCTTGTGCGCTCTCTCTCTGCGCTCTTGGTCCCTCTCGGCCCCCCTTTCCTTCTACATCCATTTCTATATCAATCTTCAGACACATTGAAGAGATCTGCGAGCTCCTCGTAGCTCAGACCATACAGAGAACGAGGACTGCGGTCAGGAACTTTGAGTCCCGGTGACCACATTAACGTACATTCAGAGAAAGTTTATTCTGGGTGACTGCGCTCGGCTGCAGGAAAAGCCTCCGTCTGCGCTCGGCTGGCTCTGCAGTAACCAGTGTTTGTGTTGGTAACGGGGCCAGATTGGCATTTTTCGTGACGTTTTTTGGTGCGGTGTAGCGGCTGAGGCGGGAGGCTTCCTCCTATGACTCACCTCGTTCTGGGGAACTCGTCCAACGACTGCCAGACAAAGCCAGAAGAGATTTTTGTGTGCGGGTCGGCCTATTGTGTAACCAGAGCGCGCTTTACCCGCTCGCTGCGCTGAATGTCATTCTTGACTGTAGATCTAGGAGGAATTTTTACAGATCTAATAGAATTATCCGGATGACAGAGGAGGACGGTGTCTGGGCTCCGGGTTCTAAGAATCGCAGTTATGAGAGAGGACGGAAAAAGTTGAGGCGGAAAGAAAAAAAAAAGTTTGGTGAGTCACTCGGTAATTGGATCCAGCCCGTCAGACGTGAGTGAGTGAGGGCGGAGCGGGGACGGCGCTGCTGGCTCTCTGTGCTGCACATCTGCAGCCGTGCGGGGACCTGGAGCGATGACTGGAGGGAACGCACGCCTCGGATAGGTGAGCGCTTCTTCACGGGGGGGTGGAGCCTGAAGAGCATTACCTCCCATGTCATGCAGAACCCAACATTCTCGTCTTTCCAAATCTGTATTGTAACTGCTTGCTGTCATAAATTGTATCCCCCTGCGCTCTCTGCAGACGCAGTGTATCCCCCCTGCGCTCTCTGCAGACGCGGTGTATCCCCCCGCGCTCTCTGCAGACGCGGTGTATCCCCCCTGCGCTCTCTGCAGACGCGGTGTATGCCCCCCGCGCTCTCTGCAGACGCGGTGTATGCCCCCCGCGCTCTCTGCAGACGCGGTGTATCCCCCCGCGCTCTCTGCAGACGCGGTGTATCCCCCCGCACTCTCTGCAGACGCGGTGTATGCCCCCTGCGCTCTCTGCAGATGCGGTGTATCCCCCTGCGCTCTCTGCAGATGCGGTGTATCCCCCTGCGCTCTCTGCAGATGCGGTGTATCCCCCTGCGCTCTCTGCAGATGCGGTGTATCCCCCTGCGCTCTCTGCAGACGCGGTGTATCCCCCTGCGCTCTCTGCAGACGCGTTGTATCCCCCCGCGCTCTCTGCAGACGCGTTGTATCCCCCCGCGCTCTCTGCAGCCGCTTTGTATCCCCCCGCGCTCTCTGCAGCCTCGTTGTATCCTGCTGCGCTCTCTGCAGACGCGGCGTATCGGTCTGTGTTCCGCCTCTGATGTTTGTTGAGGTTTATCTTGGGCAGTTTATAATGAGGGTGAGGCTGATTCTATTCACTGCCACAGAATGGCCGAACTTCTGTTTTGTTCATTGTTAATGTTTGCATCATTTTTACAACACAACACTTCCAAATTGATTGAATACTTTACTGTCGGTAGCACTAAAACGGTTATTTTATATGAGGCAAAGTGCAGACTTGGGAACACACGGCTGGCAATCGGCAGAAAGAGACCAAATACTCCATTTGAGTCCGACCCGTTTAAAAAATTTTTTTAATCTTTTGTTGGTTTCTGTTTTTATTTTGTTTTTTATTCTTTTTTTCTTTTTGTCGTTTTTTTTGTTCTTTTTTTACACTTTTTTTTTTTTTTGTATAGATCTATGTGTGTCCCAAGAATGCTTACATTTCCCTTTCTTTGACTGACTCACTACCTCTGCTGGAAGTCTGTTCCAACATCTACTACTCTTTCCATAAAATAATACTTTCTAAGGTTACTCTTGAACTCTCCACCCGGTAGTCTCAGGTCAAGTCCCCGTGTTCTACATCTTGGCTTCATACTGAACATCCTGCCCTCCTGAACTTACACCTTTCAATCCCATTTGATGACCACATCCTTATCCTTTGTGGATATTAAAGGAGAACTATGGGGTTAAGGCTTTTCCCCATAGTTCTCCTTAGGGTAACGGGAGGACACAAACTAGCGTCCTCCTGTCACCCTGGGCTCAGTACACCGCGAGCTACAGCTCCCCGTATACTGAGAAGCTGAAGCGGATCCCGACAATTGTGCCGGTATCCGCCCAGCTGCGTGATTGACAGCTGGCTCTGCCTATCTAGAGGCAGAGCCAGCTGTACCCGCCCCCTCCCCTGTCTGTTCCGCCAGTCAGCACTGGCGGTGAGGGGGGAATCCAGTCTCTCCCCTGTCACGGCAGAGAGCCGTGACAGGATCGAGAGGTGAGCGAACGCCGGTATGTGTTCGCTCACCTCCCGATCTACTGAGCCGACCTGTGACAGTCTCATTGTCACAGGTCGGCTAGAACTATGAGGTGAGTGAAAAGCACTCGTCTCATGGTTCTCCTTTAAGGAATATATTTCGCGTTTTTGTGGCGGGAGTTCAGCTTTGTAGCTTCTGCAGATCTCTGATACGGAATGGCCGCTGTGACTCTGCGTCTCTTCACATTTATTTACATACTGCAAAGCACATAACCAGACGATTTGTTACACATTGAAATATCCTAAACCGATGTTTCTGCCGGACAGGTTGGAGCGTCTGCAGCGCATCGTCAGCAAACTACAGATGGAGTCGGGACTGTGCGAGGAGCAGCTGAACCAGGCCGACGGCTTGCTGCAAACGGTGAGTTTGAGGCGCCATCTTGCCGGGACCACCAGATGTGGTGTATGAATCCGAGACCTAATATCTGGACACAAGAAGTCCGAAAGATATGTAGGACATTTTGGAACGCATCACATGTGTATTCATATGGATGGAGTGTGGAAGGGATAGACCATCTGGCAAGTTTTTATTGCAAACTGTGGGAGATTCAGCCTCTTGGTTTGTCATGGAGACCAAATTACATAGTATTTGAGGTTGCATAAAGACATTAGCCCATCAAGTCCAACCTATTAGGATCTCATTCTAGGAGTACCTGTACCCCTGTATATTACCTGTACCCCTGTATATTACCTGTACCCCTGTATATTACCTGTACCCCTGTATATTACTGATATACCACATCCACCGGCTTACCTCCGTCCATATCTCTACTCACCCCCTCATAAAAAGTTAGCAAGTTAGTTAGGCAGGAACGGTCTTTCCTGAACCCGTGCTGATTGTCATTAACTATCCCGTTTTCCTGAACAAATTCTACCAGATAAATGATGGCGAATCCTAAATTTGTCATGTGAGCAAGAGGTGAGGGGAAATCTCCCGAAGGGGATATGCAGTATGTGTTGGTGACAACTGGCTACATTGGCAATTCCCTCACTTTGGGGAAATGTCTTCTTCCTGTTGTGTCTCCAGGGCAGGAAATGAAGGAAAAACTCCCCAGCAGGAGACAGAGGGCAACAAATAACTTTTAATAGGAGTTGTAACCCTTTCCCCTTCTTATCAACACAAAAGGTTTGGCTATACATACTGTACATGTTAAAACTGAAGTCGTGGCAGATATAAAAGACGACATAATGCGGAACCCCCCCCCCCCCCCCCCCTCCCAACCCCACCCCGTC